TCCGGCGGTATTTGGTACAATGTTCAAACTGCAGGCTCAGAGGCCTGCAGCGGCAGGGGGGGAACGTTGGAGTCCTCCATCACTAAAGCAAGCAAGACTCATGTTAGTTTCAAGCTGCCTGGCTGCCAGCCGCCATCTTGGCTGTCAGTTAATTTGCATATCTCGCTGATTAGCCAATGGGAAGGGTAGCGGTCGTATGCCAATTACCATGTTTCTGTTTTATTAGATAGGATATTTCATTATTTGGAGCTATTGTAGATATGATTATTTAAAAATTGTTTCCAATTGTTCATTGCTTATTTATGAAAGTATGATTGGTGTTTGTAAATTGACCTAGTATCTGACTTGCTAAACTCATTAGTTCTAAGAGTATTTCTGTAGCTTCTCTGGAATTCTTTGGCTCTATAAATTTGTCTTATGTAAATAAAGACAGCTATATTTCTTCCTTTACAATTTGTATTTTATTTCTTTTTCTTGCCTTATTGTGCTAAGACTGTTAGTACTATGTTGAATATGAATAGTAAAAGTAGATATCCTTGCCTTGTTCCTAATCTTAGGAGAAAAGCATGCAGTCTTTCTTCATTAAATATAATGTTAGCTGTAAGTCTGTTTGTAGATGCCCTTTCTAAGGTTGGGAAAGTTCTCCTCTAGTCTAGTTTGCTGAGGTTTTTTTTAATTATTACTTTGGATGTCTTTTAAATGCTTTTTTCTTTATTTATTGATATGGTTTTGTGGTTTTTCTTCTTTAGGTGTTATTATGATAGATTTTTGCATTCCTGGAATAAACCCCCCTTGGTGATGGTATATTACTCTTTTTATATATTTCTGGATTCAGACTTCTAACATTTTTGTTGAGGGTTTTTGCATCTATGTTTATCAGAGATATTGGTGTCTAGTTTTGTTTATTTCTATTATCTTTGGTGTTGACATCAGTATAATATGAGTTAGGAAGTTTTTCCTCCTCTTCTATTCTCTGGAAAAGATAATGTATATTTATTGTTATTTATTCTTTAAATATTTGGCAAAATTCACCAGTGAAACCATTTGGACCTGGATATTTCTTTTTCAGAAAGTTTTAAAACTTTCCTTAGTAATTATGGGGCTACTCAGGTTATATTTTTACTCTAAAGCAGTGGTTCTCAACCTTCCTGATGCTGCGACCCTTTAATACAGGTCCTCATGTTGTGGTGACCCCCAATTTCATTGTTACAAATTGAACATAATTAAAGCATAGTGATTAATCACAAAAACAATACGTAATTATATATGTATTTTCTCATGGTCTTAGGCGACCCCTGTGAAAGGGTCGTTCGACCCCCAAAGGGGTCGCGACCCACAGGTTGAGAACCTCGGCTCTAAAGTCTAGTTTGTCCAGTTTTCTTTTAGTTCATGTTTGTATGGTATATCTTTTCTCATCCCCTTACTTTTAAAGTACCTATCTATATATAAAAGCCTAAGCCAGTGGTTGGCAAACTCATTGGTCAACAGAGCCAAATATAAACAGTACTTCTTCAAAATAGACTCGCCCAGGCCGAAAACCGTCTTCTGCGCATGGGCCACATCTGACCGGTAGCTATGACATGCACTGACCATGGGGGGGTGGGGGCGGGGAAGAGACTAACCAAAGATCTTATATGCATACTAGAGTCCCGGTACATGAATTCCATCCACCAGTGGGGTCCCTCTGTCTGGTCTGCGGGATCCAGCCGAAACTGGCAGTCTGACATCCCCCAAGGGGTCCCAGATTGTGAGAGGGTGAAGGCCAGGGCAAAGGATCCCACCAGTGCATGAATCCATGCACCAAGCCTCTAGTATAATTATATTTGAAGTGAGTTTCTTTTTAAAAAATTCAGTCTGCTTTTTTAAAAGTCCCACATTTCAGGGAACCCCCAATCTTGGATGACTGGTCATCTTATACAGCCTACATATGATATGTGATCTCATGAATATTTTTTTCACCCAGGGATGCTCTGGAGCACACTATAGGGCACCTTCCCCCCGCCCCACCATACACACACTCCCACCACTACAGCTGGCTAGTCTCCTAACCTTGACCTCCTGATTCATAGGTCGACACTCAACCACTGAGACATGCCGGCTGGGCAATCCCTTAATTCTTGATTGTCAGGGTCTGTGAAGGGTCTGAGCTATTACCCTCTTAGAAGCTAACAAGTGTTATAGATGCTGATAGAAGACACAAGACTCTGGGAGCAGAGACAAAGGATGTGTCTCTCATGACACAGCAGCAACATGTACAGCATGTTGACTCCCCATGTCCTTTAAGTCCCACAGGGATGACACAGAGGGGCCATGATGAATGCTGGACATGCAGTTGGTTTACATCACAGCCAAGAAATGCTGAGCTTGAGAAATTCAGCCTGCTCTTTGTCCTAGAGGGAAGCATTATCTCATCCCTTAAGGTTGCTTGCTGTCCACACAACCCTGAGAAGTGGCCAAGGTAATGTAGGGTCAGGGCTGTGTATTCTTAGCCAGAAAGTAGTCTAAGGCCAGGCTATTATACTGCAACCCACACAAGTCAGTCTAATAATTTAGACTGACTTGCAGATATTTGGTGTCACTGTCAATAATGACAAGGGGGGAATACGTGGGTCCACAAGCAAACCCTTCCCCAATGGAGAGACGTTTTGTTCATCAGTCTTTCCCCATATACAGATATGTAACCCAAAGCGACATGATTCATTTCATTTCAGAATTTGTTGTTCAACCTGACTAGGATCATCATTACTTGGTTTGGTTAAATCCCATGGGTGGTTTCATCCAAGGCTTGTAGCCCAATTGCTAAACATGGCATAATCTGAGGCCATTCAGGTGTCAGAAGCAGATGAGTTATATCAGTCAGATCTAAACAAGGTCATGCTGGCCCATGTGTTTGTACAGGCATGAGGGAGGTCCGTGTTCAGGAGCTGACATGTATGGCATCAGGCACAGCAGAATATTTTATGTCTGCCACGTTCACATGAGTTTTTCTGTGGTTTTCATTCCAAAGAAGTGATGACCAACCTATATTCAGGTCAGACTGAAGGCCGCACCTGCTGCTTGACTCTGGGAGACCATGTGATTGTTTTATCAGGCTGTAGTGCTCAGTCTAGGGCAGTGGTCGGCAAACTGCGGCTCGCGAGCCACATGCGGCTCTTCGGCCCCTTGAGTGTGGCTCTTCCTAAGCCTTAGGAGTACCCTAATGA